TTTTTTTTTTTTTTTTTTGTATCTATGAGCAAGATTTGAGTATAATTATTTTACATGACAGCCTGCTTGATTCAGCCTGCTTGATTCATTCTAAGACCAGTTTGCACGTGGGGTTGGGATCACTGTCTTTTCTGAAAACTTGTCTATGTATTTCGTTTCAAACATGTCACTGATTTAATGCTGAGTTGAACATTTTGGACATACTCAGCCTGTTTATTAGTTTATCCCAATTTCCACTACATCAGAAACACCAGGACATGAACAGCCTCAAGGCATAATTTTTCTACCAACATGCTTGAAAACTAATTTTATATAAGTTACTGTGGAGAGCTGAAAGTCGTTAACACCTTACTTTATAGTGACAATGATAATTTGTGCTTCTGTTTGTTACATGTTTGAAGTGAAACAGAGAAGAAAGCCTTCAGTTTCTCTACCCTCTCTGCTTGAAATGCCCTGCAATCTGAACTGAAACTGTCATAACTTGTTTCACTGAAAGCTCTCCGCTCTATTTTAAGAAACCAACAACAGTAATCCTTTGAACATTGCCTGCATTTTAAATCTTAAATATTACAGTTTTGTGTTATTTTTATGCCGTTAATTCACTTCTAATTCCTGCATTTTACTGTAAGTGTCCATTGTTCAACCTTTGCATTCCTTATATTCAGGCTTTATATTGAACTTATTTGAGGGCTTCTTCTTTAAAATTCTTACTGTTCACAGATTTGTGAATGGAAATATGGTCCTGCCTTTCGACAGCCACACAGCACATGTGCTAGATGATTCATAGTGCTTTTACACAATCATTTGGCATCTGTAAGATTTTGAAGTATGCTTCATGCTGCTGCAACACAGACCTTTTGTTAAATAAAATCAGCCGATCCATAAAAATAGCTGAATTCTAGGTTTTTCCGTTTTTTTTCTAACAGAATCAGCAATTGTTTTCCGTATGTATTTCAAAGGGAATAATTTATTTTATTAATTATGGAACAAAATAAAGGCCAAAATATAAACTGCTGACTCTACTGGTAGCAAAAGCAGTTGCATGTGCTAACAAACATAATGTATAAGACTCTAATTTCCTTTTTTTTTTTAATACCTCAAAAACTTTTCAATGCAAAAAAACATTTCTTTGGAGCTGGTGGAAAGAGTAGTATAATGTTTACTTAATAAAGAATTCAACCCCCTTTATAACTGGAGGTTTAATACTAGAAAGCCTCAGTGATAAAGCGAGTAAAATGTAGAAAATCCCATTAGAACTGCTTTAATTTTATTCAGTTCTTTA